GCAGGCATGGATGTGCATGCGCATGCATGGAACGTTCTGGAGATGCAGTGTGAACAGGCGTGTGAGCTCGCTTTGCTTTATCCGCACTCTTGCTCAGTATCTACTGAGGCGTGGTGTTGCAGAGCTGCAAGGCGTTCGTGCGACGGTGCGGGCCATCACAGGCGACCTCACTGTTTTGGGGACGCAGCATAAGCGCAGCGAGAAAGGCGGTAGGAGACAGTGCTCATAGCACCCCACTGCAAGATGCAAAGGCAACGGGAGGCAAGCAGTCGGTCAGCATGCGTATGATGCTTCTTGCGCGTCCTAAACATTGTTGACAGCCGTTGGGTTGTCCACAAGGAGCGATTCGGCATGAACGCCCCGTACATCCAGCTGCAGCGTTTCGCAGTTAGCGTGACGCTTGTGGTTGGTTCAGTTGCGGTGGCCGAGCTCAGCTCCAGCTGCCGACAGGCGCCTACGCACTATTTGGCAAGAGGATGAGGGATACGCATGCGTAGTTGTTGTGGGGTAAAGGAGTTTGCTTTCGTTCATGTATTTGCCCGGATGTGGATATCCCTCTTCTGTCGCTGCGGTGCCGCTGCGCTTTGCCCAGCAAGTACGGGATTACAGGGAAATTCATTTGCTTGGCGTGGGTATGGATTCGCTTATGGGGCGTGGTGTTGCAGCGCTGGAAGGCGTTTGTGCGACAGCAGCCGCGATCACTAGTGACCTCGCTGAGCTGGCGAAGCAGGATAGGCGCGGCCAGAAATGCGATAGGAGATGGCTAAGTCTACGTATGTCCCACGATAAGTAGACTGGATTACCAATCCAGGAGCTCACGAGGTAGCCTGTTTACTGAAGACATTCATACCTGAGGAAAACTGCAGCCTAGGGCGCCTTGAAGACAAACCATAGAAAATATTCACTGCATTTACATTAAAAGCCCAGAGCGCGCAAGTCCTTGTGGAGCTATCCGTGGGCACGAGAGAAAGCGAAACCTGTTGTTCCGTCTGGTGCTCCTCAGAGGTTGCAGGTCCGCTCACGGCCGTGAAAAAGAAGGGTAGGGTTTAAGGTCTATTTCTTAGTTCTTATGGTTGAGGGTTTAGGGCTTAGCGTTTAGGGTGAACGGGTTAGGGCTCGACGAGGTTTGTCGAGCTGTTTTGCTATCGAAGGAAGCGCATATGGTATGTGCCAGTGACTGGCGTGCACTGTCTGCAAATGACGCCAAAAACTATCCCCAGCGCCCGAGTGTTGTAGTAAAAGCAAGCAGGATGCAGCCCGTCGGTATCCTCCTACATGATGTTTGTAGCGCGTATTGAACACTTTCAATTCTTGTTGGTCATACACGCATGACCCATGCTGCGATTTCGATCGTTTCACAGTGGGTAAGAAGATCACGCTTGGTTTGCTTGCCCTGGTTGAAATCACCTCTCTCCGCCGAAAGGAGTACGCGCTGTATTTGGTGGAGTGCTAGGGGCCCTGCACGTATGCGCACCGTGGGCTGTGTAGAGTTTGTGTGCTCGTTTTCATATCCGCTGTATGGAGGAGCCTTCTCTGATATTGCGGTCGACTTCTGTTTTGACGAGGTATCATGGACGTGACAAGGAGGCATAGCCGCGACGATCATGGATGCGTCGCTGTTTCTCGATTCGATTCATGTTTAAAGCGGTGCGCAGGGTATGCAATGCCAGCGGTCCATCGGTCTGCAGGCGTGCAATGTTTTTCGTACGTCGGGTGGGCAGGGCGATTCCTTCCAGTTGGCCTCCTGGGCGGCAGCAGTTGTGAGAAGATGCACCATGGAGGCAGTTGCACTGTGCAGTTGGCTTTCGTCACACAAGCATATGGCGCCCCCGCAGGCAGGTTGCGCTACCCCTCTAGATATGCATATATGTATACTGCTTTTGGGGACGCCGCTGCGTAGGGGTGTAGGGTGCATGCAGCATTTGGTGGAAGTGCCGATGGGTGCCGTGAACGTATGCAGGCCATATGCGCATTCCCGGAATTCTACATCGTTTTGGGGATTAAACCTTTTGTTGCGTATCTGTTGACTGGATTGGCTTGCGTAGAAAGTACGCATAAGGTCGGGGCCGCGTTGCAAAATTGTGGTGACGTCGTGAGCCAGGTTAGTGTGCATCGCGGCTGAAGTACGAGAGGTAGAGTGGCTTTGGATGTCGATGTTGCACTCTGGTGTAGGAACATGCGGCGTTCGGCCTGTGTCGAACGCGTAAGCTGGAATGTTGTCGCGTATTTAGAGATGGAGGCACTAAGGTAGAAGCAGTTGAGACTGGCCGCTTTGGTGTATTTGCTTTGCCTGGGTGACCCTGCATCTTCGATGTGTGTCTGCAGGGCAGACCAAATGGCTATAGCTGCCTGCAGTATTCGACAAGAGAAGTGTTTGTTGAGTGTGGTATGTCGCATGAGTGTGACGGGTAGAGGCGTTGAGTTGTGAAGAAGTGATTGATGCATTGAGTATGGGTCAACGTTTCTATGGTGGTTGCCGAGTTCGCAGGGGCGAGAGCAGCGGAGCTCCTGGGAAGGATGAGGATGTGACGGTTTTCAGGGATGGCGCAAATGGGTATGGCGCTTCATGACCCATCTGCAAAGTACGGCTCTTCGGGGGCAGGTGAGTTGCTGATGCTGCATGCGTTTTGCTTTTTGTGCCCCACGC